CTTCGCACTGAACTCATCCAGACGACCAAGTGGGGAAACCATGCTGTCCACTAATCCGTTACCCAGCTCTTCGCCGCCTTCGACGACGGCAACAATTTCGTTAGGATGGGATTCATCACATTCCATTTCGTTGCTCGTGTCAGCAGACGAAACCGCATCTACAGATGCCGCCACGTCCTCGCCCATGGTATATTCTAACAAGTCCGAATCCGCATCCTCGTAATGTCCAACAAACTGGCTCGACTCTCTCGCCCATTCTGATACAGATGGTACGTGGCAACGTGGCTGAAACTTCGGATTGCGATCGAAAGTATAGCGGTATATTTCCGTCAATGGGTGCCCGTCTTTGGGAGGCAAATCGCCTCTATTGATTCTATCCTCCAAAAGCTTTATCTCGTGCTTCCTTGAAGTTCCAACGTCAGCATCTACATCGGTTTGATCTTCTTCATCCGACTCTACTTCGCCCGTATCGTTTTCGTCGCCATGGTCTCGGTTGCTATCGTTCGCACGGCCACCTTTGTGGTTTTCTTTATTCTCTTTTCTCCAGGGTTTAGTCGCCGAATTCTGTAGCTCTGTCTCTTGCTGATCTCGATTCTCGTCCCAACGCTTCATCTCATCTTTGAGCCATAAGGACTGGAATTCTGAGATTCTACAAAGCACAAAGTAGCACTCGATGAAGCGGTGAAAGCTTTTCAGAGCAAATCCGTGAAAGATGGGTTGTACATTCTACATAAAATGAGCATGCATTAAAAGAAGACGAGAGGATACGCACCAATGTGCCGTTCTTCCAGTTTGCGACGTATAACTGAAGAATATTCTTGTTGAGAGTAGCACCAAATACTGGCCCGTCCTTGAGGCGGAGAGCCCGCCGGTGCAGCTGGCCCGAGAACAAGTCAAGTTGGATCTGACGTAACACATCTTCGGGATCGTCCACTTTCGACTCGAAGCCAAATGTGACAATCGACCCTGGCATATCGGTCAATAGTGCAGACCATGCCCATGAGAACACGTATCGATTATCGAGTTCTTCCAGGAAATCTGTCCAGTCTGCTGGCAGCGTCAATGCTGCGACGGCATCGGCTCGAACAAGATCCGGAGTATCGGGTAGGACCATATCTACCTCAGCCCTAGATAATAATGTAAATGTGAATGTACAGCATGCAAAATCAGGCAGAGCTATAAGCACCTCCATATATGGTCGGCCCCGGGACGATTTTGAAACGCAAGCTCAATCATAGTATCTGTTCCTCTGCGGTTTGATGCTTCATTTACCACCGGGTCAGCTTGGATCAGGGTAGACTTCCAAGCATTGACAAGAATTGGTAGCGACATCTCGAAATAGTATTTGTCGCAGGGCTCGATTTTGTCGCGATCCAGTCGATCGCGCCACCTACTAAACTGGCTTTGAGCGCGTGCACCTTTTGGAAGGTGAGATACCCAGGCATCCATCATGCGCATTACCTAGTAGGCATGTTAGTCATCGTATCGGGGCAGGGGGCGGGGAGTGCATTGATGTCTCACGTCTTTCTCCATAATACATTTAGGGTATTTGAGTAGGTCCATGAAATTTTTGAATTCATCGTTCTTCCAGACTTCTTTAACATAGCGAATCTTATGGAGATTGGCCCATTCGTCCCATTTTTTCGGCGTACGACAAAGCCTATGGGTACCTATGAGAACCTCGAAGTCACAGAAAACAGCATACTTACACAGAAGCGGAAACAGAAGAGACACGGCTCGATGCTCTGAAAATGATTGGACGTAAGCAGCCTGACGAGGCAGAAAGTATATCAATCTTACTTAGTCTTCACGGAATGGTCGGTCGTATTTTTGAGTACCTCTCTGCAGGGGTGTCTCAATTGGAGGATGGTGACGCAGTGTAGTAGGAGTAAGAGACATACCCTTCAATTATGCTTGATAGTGCACGATGCTTTATTAGTAGCGTGCTGACAGTGAAACGGAGGGAAGAGACTTACGAGCCGAGGTTTGGCGCTTTCGAAGCTCTACTGGATTGTGAGGACCTCGATGGCATGGCAAAAATATGAGAGAAAAACTAACTCCTCAGCCGCAGCAGTATTCATAGTGTTTGATAGTGGCCCGTGTTGGTGGCTCGAACTTGCTGGACTTTGCTGACTTACCCTTATACTATCTCTAGCACTCTTAGTCCTTGTTCTCTTGTCTCAATCCATCTTCCTCTCAAGTTACTTAATATGCTAGTTTGTTTTTACTTATACAAACTCAGGTTGTCCTCCCTACCCTCTCTCAACCAAGAACAAGCACCAAGCCTTGACCTGAGTAAGGTTCCTTCTCTGCCAAGTGTCCTACTACCTTCAAAACAGTAAACACTTGAGGAGAGGAGCCTTGTAACAAAATCTGGCTGTTCAAAACAAATCAAGTAAGTCATCTTGTTGTTTTTACACACTATTACATTCACTTATAACATTTATAATGTACAGGTACAGAGACACACTCAAACAAATATGTCAGCTCTCACAGTCTATTAAGTAGAACATTGACCTTTAGGTTAACATTCCAGGTGCTATAAACTATAGTATAGCTGTTGAATCTCTTAAAATGTATTCAAGAATGGAAGTGATGACTACAAACTATAACACTAAGGACATAGAACTTTGCAAGAGAGTTATTACAAATGCATAAGTTTGATTATATTCTACTCCTCTAGTGATTACTGACAACTCTGTGTCAGTTGTGAAGAAGAGAAGGACCTTCTCTTCAGGGTTTATAAGAGTGTCCTTGTACTCTTTTCTAATGAGAGGGCCTATTATAAAGTGCTTTCTAGTCTAGAGGCTAAGGCACTTTAGGTTGAGGTATGTGTATAACACAATAAAGTTGCACCTATCTATTCTATTACATTCCTTACTGTTCTACTCTAGTTGATGGACAAAATAACTTTGCAGCCAATGTCCACTCTGTAGCCAATGTATGTGTGTGTGTACTATCCCTATCTATCTTCATTCCCTCAGAATTCATTCTCTATCTCTGTCATTAGACTTTCATTATTACACACTGTATTCTGTAGTCACTAATAATGCTAATCTATTCTATTTACTTTAGGTGAACAAGAAAGCAGAGCAAGGTCACAGTAACAACACATCTACACTCAAACAGAGGGAGCACTACTATGTACTCAAGGAAGGCTGGCTGGAACCACTGATTGACAATCAACCAAGTAAGATAGGCAAAGGTATACACTATCTACAATTGTTACAGATGATTGTTCTAATGCTACTCCTGCATGCACACAGTAGTAAGGAAAGGTATACAGACTAACAGATGAAGTCAAACAAAAAATGAACACTCTTACTCATATCCTTACTGTATAGTTTCAAAGACAATGTAAAGTCAAAAAAATACCTGATCACACATAGGTCATTCCCTGTGTTCCTGTATAAGGAAGGGTCATACAATCCAGAAGTAATGAACAAGGGCCTATTCTAAGACTGTTTTCTTGTCAAAGTAAGTACACTCCTATTATTCTTTACAAATACTGATACTTCTTTTATAGTGCCTTTGGCTGATCTTTACAAGCCCAAGTTCTACAGATGCTGAGCCTGGTAGTAAAGGTAAAACAATGTAGGTAAATAATGCTGAGATTGTAAGTGTGAAGTCTGTCACCCTAGAGATGATTGCTTACATATGTGTCTAGGTAACTACTCAGGCTATAATAGTGATATAATCTAGCAACACTGACAATACTTTTGATATGATAGGTGTGCTTTTTTATTTCAACACTTGAAACCTTTGGCAAGGTCAATGAAAATTTTAATTTCAAAGCATTTTATTACACTATTCTTGAGTTTTTCAAAGACTGCAAGTCTCTATAGGTCCAGGACACACTTAATTGGTGGAATGAGTATGTTTTATACATTTTTAAATTTACTTAAAGCTACATTAACTAACTACTAGGTTTCTAGGCAGGTTTTTGGCTCCTCTAGTGAATTGCTCACTATTGAACCTGAGGAGGATGAGGAGTCATTGATTGCAGCCATTTTGAGAGCTTGGAAGGCTTGTAAAGAGTGTGGACAGTCCTAAGTAGGAGGATTGGCTGGCCAGGGTCAAGGACTGGCTACTTGAATGTAAGACACTCACCTGCCAGACAATACACACATGGATAAGGTTTAGGTTCGTTTTTCCACTTTCTAATTCTACACATTGACGTTCACCTTACTTGCCTCATTTAGCAAGTCTTGTAACTGTTTCCCTTGCTTTGTGTTAACAAGATCAGCTGTTTGTCTCATTTCTTGCCCTAACACTCATACAGTATGCTTTCTGCTTTCACCACTTTTCTTCTCACTCCTACACCTGTTAGTGCTATAATTAGTATTTAGTAACATTGTAATATTGCCACGAAAATATAAATAATTTGAATCATTATTAATGCATATAAGGGCAAAAAAGTAAAATGAATATAAGTAGAGTTTGTATATACATTGCAATTCTTTAGTAAGGCTTCTGTCAACATTATAAGGCAGAAAAATGTATATTGGTTTGGAACAGTCTTTTAGACTGTTATATTAATTTGCATACATTATAATTAATACCATCCTTCCTATAGTATATACTCCTCATCATTTTTGAGATCAAATATAAGTCATTTTACTTATTGCAAGGGATAAAAAACTTTATGTACCTTTATAATGTGAACAAATCTTTTATGCCTTATAATGTATACAATGTCTTTACTTATTATAAAGAACAGCAAGCTTTCCTTAGGCTTGAAATACTAATAAACCTTTTGAATATTGACAAACCTTTTGGATCTTATAATGCCTTATACTGTTTCTCAGAAATTGAGATCAATTATTTTGCATTTTACAGTTTTCACAGTATTTACATATTTTGAACCATTATAAGCTAATATAAGCTATAAGACTTTCTCGCGATGAGACTAACCTGGTCGTTGAAAATTGTGCAAATCGCCAAAGCTGGGTATATATTTGTCTAAATAGAACTCTCCTTGTTCATAGACTTTGTGAAGCAAGATAATCAATGGTGGGTTCTTCAATGCCAAAATAAACAAGTACACATCACATTGTTTGAGTTCGCCATTTCGCCTAACAGAACACAACTTACAGTAAAGCAGAGGCGAAATCATGACGCTTGAGGCGATCACGTGAAATTATCGGTATGTGCCGAAGAGCCAGATTCGCGTGTTGTGTCTGTCTAAATTATAAATAAGTCTTATTAAAAGTGATTCAAGAAACAGTACTAACTAGGATACTACTAACAAGTAGTAATATTAATACTTTCTGTGTTAAAGATGGAAAGAGGATGAAAGGAGTGAGTGAGTGAGGACAAGGAAGTAAGGTAACTATGACTGAGAGTGAGAGCCTGAGAGTGTTGACAATAAGAGCTCTTGTAGGGGGGGGGAAGGACTTATCCAGCAAAAATACACTAGGAAAAGTAGGTGTATCTAAAATGAGAGGATTTGATATACTTAAAATAAGAAGTACACAGTCACTTGGCTGCCAGTACTCTGTATACACTGTACATAGCCTTACATACATAAAATACTTAGCTTGAACATGTGTAAATTCAGTGTTTCAGCTGTATATTTAGTAACATTCAATAAACACATAAATTGACTAGCTTGAAATTATTAATATTAGTCTGTATCTGAGCCAGGGGTCAAATATTGGCCAAACTGCTAGGGAACTTCAAGTTAGCTTTATGTACAGAATTGAAGGCATCTTTCATAACATACAGTAGGCTGTAGCTATAATAATAGACTTTGTACAGCTTGAATACAGAACCTACTTATTATTAAAGTTGACATATGAGTGGATCTGATACTACTCAGTAATCAAGAAAATGCTTACCATTTTCCTTCTAGTCTAGTAGTACTTCTCAATTTACTTGTACTAAGATACTTACACTTTAGTATGGAGGACAGTACTATTGTTATAGGACTGTAGTGTACCTTAATACTTACTATATAGAGTATATGTCTGTACAAGTCTTAGGAAGAGGTCTGACCCACTTCTCAGACTTGTACTGAGAGCAGAAAATAATGATTGCTCACTTAAAGCAAATGTAAATTATTAAGAAGACAGAGATGAACTATACAAAGTAATAAACAATGTCTAGTAGTGTTACAAATAGTGATTGTTATGATTTGCACAGCTTGTACAAGTCTTCTTTCTTAATTCTTACTACTTTCTAGAGTACTCTCAGGCTGGCACAGTCTCAGACTTGTACTACAACCTGTACACAAGGCAGTAAGGGAAGTAAATTGAGAAGGGCTAATATGAGCTTCAATATTCTTCTACAGTTTGCTACATAGACACATATACTGTTACAGTAAGTATATTTGTAAATTATGCTACTGTGAGAGAGTACTAACAGTAGTAGTACATATTACTATATTTAAATCTCAGTTCTGGTCAGTAAAGATTACTAATATTAATCTATCTTGTTGTGAACCTCTGTATGTCAGATACTAGTAAAGCAGACATTCAAAGGCATATGTTAGACTAGACTATACTTCTCTAACTCTTTAAGATGCCTTCCTTTGTTTGTGAGACTTGTAGTAAGGTCTTTAAGAAGAAGAATGTACAAGTAATCTATTACAATTATTGTGTTAATACAAGTAGTAGTCTGAACTCTCTAAAACACATTAGAGAGTCAAATAACAAAGTGAAAAAGAGAATAAGGTTAGGTATGTGTGATAGTATCTTGATTCTTAGACAATACTCACTATTTTGTGTAGCTGAGACCCAGGCATTCAAAGTAGAGAATGATACTCAGACTGTTCTAGTCCTATTTGACAAGCCTCTTAAGTTTCCTGAAGGAACTAAATATAAGAAACAACTACTAAAGCAATTTACAGATCTTCTACCATCTACTTCAAACTTGTCTGTACTTTCTACTGTATCTCTTCCACACCTTCTTAAGTTCATACTATCTTAGCTTCCTTCTCTACTGCCTTGAGTCCCCTCTCTAACTCTAGTAACTCTAGAAATCATGTAAGGAACAAGAAGAAGGCTCTTTTTGTCTGAGCCAAACAAATACAAGTTACTTTAAGAGTACTCAGATTTGCTAGATGACTTCCCTGACAAGACACTCAACCTTAAGGACTTATGTGACTTACCTGGACTTTCTGCAGGTGATACTCTGACTCAAATGTCCTTACTCTCTAAACTTATTACTAATAAATATGTACTGTTTAATAATGTAGTAACTTACCTTTTAACAAGCTAGACAAATTACAAAGTGAAAGAAAAGACAAATAATAAGCTGGATGTCCTTGTACACAAAGTCTTACTTTATCCAGACTTTAAGCTATTAGACTTAGTAGACTACAGAGTAAGGTGGGAGAATTCACACATTGACAGTCTACACTACAATAATGATTCCCCCAAGTCTTCCCATTCTGATGACTAGTACAAAGAATTGGTTAAAATCAAGCTACCTTCTAAAGACAACAAGAAGTGGCCTGAGGGTAAAGAAAGAGCTCCTGAATTCAAAGTTAGAGGAATACACTACTAGCCCTTACTAACAACAATCTTTAAAGCCTTAGACAACCCTTATTCTCCTCCTTTTCATTATATGCCTTACAGGGAGCTTTAGAGACTAACAGTATGTGTAGTATTAGAGCTGTATAGTAAACTTTCTACTAACCCTTAATTATCTCTCCTCTTCCTTAAGTATGACTCCCCTCCTGAACACATTTATAGTAAACTATATTGCTCAGATTATTGGTTGGAAGCCTACAAAGAAGTACAAAGCTTTCTAATGTAAGACAGTACTGAAAACTTTATACTTCCTCTTATTCTCTATTCAGACTTAATGTATCTTGCAAATTTCAGTTCTGTATCACTTTAGCTAATATACATGTACTTTAGAGGCTAATCTAAGTACATACATTATAAATCTTTACAGACAGCTTGCTATTATCTAGCATATATTCCTTCAGTGAGTACATTTCTTTTATATTTCTACTGTTCTTTGTAATACATGTTCTGACATACAGTATTTACATTAATAAAGCTCTTAGCATTAGTTTAAGATACATATAATAAGGTTTATGAACAATCTGCATCTTCAGAACTCCTCACTCACTTAAAGCACAAACTATTTCAAGCTGTCTTGTCCTATATCCTCTTACAGCCCAAAATTCTTAAGGCATACAGCTCTAGTATTCTATTTGACTGCTTGGATGGAAAATTATGTAGGCTCTTCCTAAGGTTTGCTTTTTACTCAGTAGACTACTCTGAGAAGTATGTCTTGTATCTATTTGCTATCTTCTTGTTTGCATGCACTATAATCTTCACCTTAATTTACACAAGGATAACTGAACATTGCTACAGGATGCTTATTACTAGCTTGTGTGTTTTAGGCAAATTCTCAAGCTCTACAGATATTACACCAACCAAATTCAACCATATGCTTGGTACTAGAGCCAATTAACAAAGACAAACTCACAAACATATTAATGATACAGTACAGTAAGAGAAGATTTCTAGGGCACAACAGTGGATTTTTCAATTAGGGAAGCCTGTAGAATCCACCTGGATAAAAAATCTCCTTAAGGACAGATCCCTCATACTAGTTAATGTAAGTAAACTGTTACTATCCAGGCAATGCTCCTCATTACTCACTTATCTTATTTTTATAGAATGCTTTTTCTGTGCTTTGTAAGCACAGATTCAATTTCTTTAACTTATTTGTCCCAGACCTTATACACAAATTTGAGCTGAGGGTCTGGAAAGCAATATTTACCTACCTCTTACACATTCTTTTTGTACAGGGAGGAGAGAGCATACTAATACTTAATAGGAGGTAAGTATCTATGTTACAGCCTCATCAATTGCCTTGCTATCATCTATTTAGATATATTCATTATATTTTAGGTATCACTGTACTCCTACATTTGGAATGGATACAATCTGGTGATTTTCCAGAAATATGTTTACAATGAAAAAAATTGTAGCTAGAGACTTTGAAGATATTCTACAGGTAAGTGCCTCCCTCAAAACTATTAATATATATACACTACAATAGGATGTGTATTACCTAGTGTGCCATACTAGCCTTCAAGGATTTACTGCCAAAGAAATATAATAAAGTGGTCCTTGACCTTTTATTCATCTTAGTAACCTAGCATGCACTTGCAAAGCTCTGCATTCATACAGAGACTACAGTTCAGTTCCTTGAGGAGACAACAACATTGCTAGGATACTAGGTACAATACTTTAAGAAGACTGTATACTTAGCCTACAATACACACAAACTCTTAAAGGAGATTACTACTCAAGGACATTGTCAAGCTGCCCTACTTAATAAGGGTAAGGCAAAGGGACTGGACACAAAAACAATCAGATCTAGTATGAAAACTAAAATGCTCAACATTAATACACTGAAATTTTATTCTCTTAGTGTATATGCTTCTACCATTTGTTGATTTGGTACAACTGATTCATACAGTATACAAATTGTTAAGTGTCTACTTCACAATACACTCTCTATACTTATCTCAATTGTGTATCTTTACAGGGGGAGTCTCAGTATAGGAGACTCAAACACATGTATGCTAGGACAAACAAGTAAGACACTACAAAGGCAGTTTCACAACTAGAGGGTAGGACCTACAAGATACATGAGATTAATTCTTGTATCAGCCTTAATGATGGATCTAGGGATCCTATCAAGCTAAGGGATCTTAAAGTCTATTATAACATGGTAGCATCAAAAAAGGATTCTATCCATCTTTATTAGTAGCTTTTAGATAATGATTCCAACCCAGCTTTACAGGTGAGTACATTATTAGTCTCCTCTTTCTATTTCACATATACAAGTACTGATACATTACACACTTGCTAGAATTTCCTGCCAAGTCTTTGTAGGCACCTGCTTGGATGTATTCTCTCAAGACAGGAAGACAAGGCCTTCACTACAGACAAGCTATACAGCCTCTACATAAAAAATGACAAGCTTTTCTGTCTCAAGGTGCTATGTATCAATTACACAACCTATAATATTAGGAGAGTCCAAGATTCACTCAATCCACAGATGCATGCTGATATCATGTTGCTATTGGATAACACTGAACATCCCTACATTTATGCTTGAATAATCAGACTTTTTCATACAGAGGTCAGTTATATGGGTCTAGAGGCTGACCCTAACTTCCAAAACTTTAATTGGCTCAATTTTGCTTAGGTTTGCTAGATGAAAGTTGATGAGAATGGCTTGTTTGTTGAGAGACAACTCCCTTGATTGCAATTCTATTATCATACAGATCCTAGTGCCTTTGGATTCATTGACCCAGACCTTATTCTTTGAGGTGCTCATCTAATCCTGCAATTCTCCAAGGGTACTGTCCAGACACTCTTGCCTCCATCCCTTGCTTGCTGACCTGAAGATAAGAACAAAGATTACAAATTTTACTTTGTAAACGTGTAAGCATGTTGTTAAGGCTTTCAAATTTGGAACATATTAATACTGAGTCATTTTTGGTCCAATTTACTACAGATTTGTTAATAGAGACATGTTCATACACTATTAAGGCAGAGGAATCAGACACAAAAGTATGTAGCATTTAAATAGCTACTTACTACATGACATGCTACAAGAACAAAACAATGACAAGATGGATAGTAAAGTATTGGAAGAGGAGGAGGAGACTAATAGTAATGACAAGGATCTTGAAAGCAAAGAACAGAACAATGAGGAAGGCAAATCAGACAGTTATACAGACCTGTAGTGAATATTAGATGCACCATTTACATGTAAGGTAATTTTGTAGTCATGTGTAGTAAATGACAATCTGTTGATCATCTGTATGACTGTTTTTGCTAATTGAATATGGTACTGTGAGTATTCTACTAGGCTGATTCCTTGTTACCATCTTACCAACTTTTGTAGTAAGCAAAATGAATCTTCTTTTAATAGGTGCCATCTATACCTCCATCTTGGCTCAGTTTGCACTAACTGTAGTGTTCTTCAGAGCAATCCTCAACTTCACCACTATCACACAGTTTCTTACAGTTTGTAGGATAGAGAGTGCTACATGTGTTACTACTGTTTTTACAGATTCTTTCATTACTGTCACCATACTCTATTTACTGCATCATATGTCTGTTGGTAATCTTCAATACACTGCTGCTACCTAATTTGAGCATATACAGAATTTGCAAGGTTGTTTAGAGACTCAGAACAATAAGGATGGCTATTGGGTCAAAGTTTGTAAGTAGTGTAGCATAACTCAACAGCTTCATCAAGGTCTTCTAGCTGTTCACACTGTTTGTATCTCTTGCTTTGTTATCTTGCTTACTTTGTTGTCTCTTACAGCACTCTCCAGACACACTTTCACCCAGGCTTGGCTCTGTAACAAGCAGTAATGACTCTCAATCCCCTGTCAATAATCTGCTCAATGTTGACTTTGATAAACTTGCTGAGTACCATTCACAGCCTCACACAGCACTCTCCAGATGCACTTTCACTCGGACTTGGCTCTGTAATGAGTAGTGACAACTCTCAATCCTCTGTTAATAATTTGCTCAACATTGACTTCAATAATATACTCACATTCCTTTTGCTTCACAGTTGTACACACACACTCCTGACAACTTGCATTCACAATTACCTTTAGTAAGTCCCTTCCCTCACTTGCATTTGACCTGAGATCTCCAGACTTACTTCTTATCTTACACAGTACTCTCTACACCTGCCCCCCCCTCTGTTTTTTGGGCCAATCCAGACATGTACAAAACAAAGGATGCAAAACATGTGTCCTGTAAGGCTAGTACTGATAAAATTCTGGGAGTACTTAGGGAAGCACTCCCAGATTGTTATAGCTGTATTAAAACAGCTAAAATTGTGTAAGTTCTTATATTTTTTACTTTTTTCTACTACTAACATTATTATTATTATTATTAGGGGTGGTATTTATGAGTCAGGTAATGACAATACTCTACACCTTCTAATAAGATGTTTTGGGAAGAAGAAATTGGTAGGATCTATACACCTGCCTTTTGTTAATAATGTGAGTTTTTTTTACCTTTGTCTTGTCTTTCTTTGCTAATATTATCTTAAGGAATTCAATTTCAAGGGGGCAACTATTAGTTACAAGACAGCTAAAAAAATTGTAATTAAAAAGATCTTGTAATATTTTCTTTTGCTTTGTATTTTATTTACATCTGTTATACTTCTATAACACACACATTACAAACTAGTACTATATATTTATTAAGATTAGAACCCTAAAAATAGAGTTTTTAATTATTATATACATTAATTTGCCTTTTGTATTAATTATCTACTAAAAATAAATATTTTTGCTTAATTATATTACAGATATCACTCTGTTTTTAAGATTATAATACTTATATAATCTAAGTATAATACTTTAGCTTATAATGTAAGGTTATCATAATGTATTCAATGAATTGTAATAATTCATATCACTCTTAGAGTCTTTATATACATTAATATGCCTTATTTTATCCTTATAGTTGTGTTCTAACCCTTACATATGAATTACAATGTATATAAAATGCTAATATTTCTTTAAATAGACTGTAATTCATTATATTTAAACAGACTTTTTCCTGAAGATGCTCACATTCCTTTTGCTTT